ACTCCGAGACGAGGAGGTACCACCGCTAAGTGGTACCTCCTCGGAACGCCAAGACATCCAATGCGTTGGATCCGGAAGGGATATCAATGGTAATGTTTAAGCAACTGGATGAACGTGGAGTAGAGTACTAACAGCTGTACTCAACCTGTCGTTAGCCACCCACATTTTTCCTTATGACTGAGAAATAGACAGGGTGTTCCGCTACTGTAGCCAGGTCGTACATACCTATTCCCTTCTTCTTCAGTAGCAAAGGCGCTTAGTCACTATTCCTTCCTCTGATAAGAAGTTCCCAAGTCCAAAACACCATGAGGCCGTGCGACAGAATAGTTTGTAACTTATTGAAAGCCTTCGATACTGTCAATCACTCCAAGCTGTTCTAGGACATAGAGAAGACCAACCTCCGAACTAATTTGAAACATTGACTAACCAATTATATGTGTGGTCGACAGTCATATTTGGAATTCAGAAACAAGAAGTCCAAAAGTCGCAGAGTGAAGCAGGGAGTTCCCCAAGGAGGAGTTATACCTCCGGAATTGTTTAACATCTACAACCACGGTAGCATAGATATCGTAATGTATGCGGACGATTGTATGATCATGTCGTCGTGTCCCATTATCGATGATGGCTGTTTTAGTACCGTACTTCCATGTGAGGAACATGAATATATTCTCGCTAAATCCACAGCCACTCTGTTTACCACATGGACGGCTGAAATGAAGGTCCCACTGAACATCATGGTCGATTGTATACTAATTCTGACCACAAAATATACCAACATTTTGGGAGTAATATTCGATAGTTTATTTAAGTCATCCGCGTAAGCCATTCGATAAGATAAGAAGGATGAAAAAGGTACCCGTACTAGGTCGGTCCATGGTAAGCTATGTGGCGTCAGTGTAAGTCTTGTAGTTTTTGTAACGTTCTGAGTAAGGCTCGCTTCAGAAGTGGAGGTTTAGCATTCCTATTGCACCACTCTGTTCAATACATACATACCTCGTTTTAGATAGACTCTAGTGAGTCAATATGGAATGTTGGGGGATGCAGATAAATGTATATACAATTCCGACCTCCAAATACTCCAACAATAACATCTTTAAATTATCTGCACGTTATCTATGCCCTCAAGTTCTAGGCTGGCTTCATTTGGTCGTAGACTAGGTTTGTGGCCGGCTATGCGGTACACGAATACAAGTGCTACTCAATGGAGAGGTAGTCAGACCTATTAGAATGCCGACATGAGAACTGGAACATGCAATTGTGATCACAAAACTACTCAAAAATTTTCAAGGTCACATTAGACAGCCTGTTTAAATATTCCGCTCAAGTCATAGTTAGGTTCTCGTGTCGTTTGCGTCAGCTCTTAGGGCAAAGACAAGGCAACATTTTTGACCTCTTATAAAGCGATAGGTCGGTCTGTGCCTAGCTATGGGAAAATTCAAGTTTTGCGGAATGGAGAAGAATTCAGATTTGTCAGAACACTGACCTACGAACTGGATCAGGATGTCGATCGTGACATTAAACATAACCTTCATATGGTTAATAGAACTCCCTTCTCAGGCGAGTAAAAAGATATAAAAGAGAGCCTCTATGCAAAGTTAACACCGGCTGATGATAAAAAACAATATTTAATGGGCAGTAACATGAACGCCAGAGATAAGTCCGATACAATTGTACAGGGAAATCTGAGAGAAAGGAGAAGATGCTGCTCCAGCAACATCAAAACTTAGTTAAAATGTCTAGAAAATTAAAAGTTATCCAAACAACTTAAAGAGCTTTTAATTTCGGTCGGAAGGATCTGGTAATATCCGGTCCGATATATACTAACATCAATACCAAATTAGCAAAAAATCCCTTAGACTTACCTGCAATATTCACTAAATGTCAAAACATAGCATTTATCTTCAATACAGGCAACTGAATTGTGATCACGATGACGTGAGGCATAAACTTCATCTGGACTATCGCTAGGTTGGCGTCCCTGTTCTGTGTGTTCGGGACGATAGTACCATAAGAGAGACATCATCATTTCACCTGTCGAGAAGAGAGAAACAAGTCAGGATTATACAAACATTTCAAAAGTATCCAAAGAGAGATCTTACCATCTTCCGGATTTTCCCACAAATGGGCCACCTTGGCGACATAGGGCAACTCATTATCTTCATTAGCCTTGAGAAGAACACAATCACGGGTGCGTATAATATCGCCCTCAGAATGGCGCATAGCAGGATAACAAGTACGTATTACCAATGGATCATCGCTCTGTAATGAAGAGGGAGATGAATTAAAAAAATAATAAAATATAATTTTTTTCTGAACAACTTACATTTAAGAATACCGCCCCCTGGAACTGTTCTCCCTCCCATGTCCAGCCATTATTCCATTTCGGCACAACATCATTACGTGTAGCCGGCGGCAGTGTTTCGTCCAGCTCAAATGACACCGTGGAATGTTTCAATTTTTGACGTTTGCGATTGCCAAATTTGGAACGTGAACGATTACGTTTGACACCATGATGGTGACACACCACCCGTGGCATTGGAGGTAATGTGGGCTGTATAAATAGTTGCTGTTGTTGCTGCTGCGGCGTTGGTGTAGTTGCTGTTGTACTGATATTGCCATTGGAATGTTCTATCAAAGAATTTTGTTCACCTGCTGTCGTCGGGTGACAGGATTGTTCAGGAGCCTCCTCCGTAATTTCGGATTGCATTGGAGTATTTTGAGCGTTGAAAGTGACACTAGTTGTTGTATTATTGTTGTTGGGTATGGCGGGTTCCACCTCCATCACTGTACCAGCCAGTGTTTCAGCCGTTGTTCGTAAACCGTCATCCGATTTTGATTCTTCTGTAGGTTCCTTATTCAAAATTTGAGCTTCTTTAGGAATTTCATTGTTGTTCGTTTCCATGGCCATAGCCTCTACAGCTATACACTCCTGTGCAGTTATATCTACCGAACTTCTATCCTTGGATTTTGATTTTTTCGAAGATTTGTGTTCCGTTTTGGATTTCTTAATTTTTCCCTCCTTCGGCAATTTTGTCGACTTGGGTTCTGTGGATTTTGATCTAGATTGTTCCGTATATTCCATGCTTGAATCACTAGCCATCGTGTGCGTCGTAACTGATTTTGAGGTAGTTGCTGTTAGTATCGGAACACCATCGAAAACGGTACGAATATTTAAGGGTTCAGTGTTAAGGGAATTCTGAACTTTCAAAGGTTTCTTTGTTTCCGATTTCGAACGTTTTTCCGAAGTGGTTTTTGATTTTTTATGAATTTTATGAGCCAAAGGACTACGGCCTTCTTTGGGCTCATTTGTCGTGGTCATGGTCGTCACCGTGCTATTAGATTTGTGTAAATCCAAGGGACTAGGAGAACAAGCGTTACTGGTCACCACCAGTGATGATGATGATGTACGACATTCCGGCTCTGAGAAGTAGCCCCTGGCCACAGCATCAATAGTTTCAATTAAATGCAAAGGTATGGCTTGTTTCTTGGGAGGCTTTCCACGTTTCGGTGATGGTTTGGGTGTAATCTGAGGAGATTTCTTGGCATTTGCGGCGTCTTGTTGATTTGCAAATAGCAGTGGCGTCTGCACTTTACCATTCTCCAACATTTCCACATCATCCTCAATTAAATTCACCACCTCATCCTCCTCTTCGGCTTCTTCTTTTTTAATTGGTTGTTCCACATTCACGCTCTCCGGCAGTTCCCTTTCTCCCTTAATCATGTCATGTTGTCTACTGTTGGCCACCGCTGCCTCCTTGGCTTCTTTGCGTTTTTGCCTCAGCTCAGCCCTTCTTTGCTCCTTCGTTTCACGTCTTCGTTTTTCCATGGCCGCCAATTTCTTCTTTCGTATCTTCAAACTTTCCTTCTGTTGATCGGTTAACATCAATTCTCTCCTTCGTATACCGTTGTTAAGACCCGAACTGCCCTTGTTGGATTTAGACGAGTGGATGCGACCAAATCGTGATTTCTTTTCAAATTTACGACTCAAACAAAGATACGTCTTGGGTTCCGCCTGTTTGATTAGACTTTTATAGCTATTGGGAGGAGATTTCTTGCATTGATTTTTGTTGATTTCCAAAATTCCACGACGTTTGCCTGAACATTTGGGCGCCACAGGACTATGGCATAAATCGAGAATCTCATCGTCGGATGTTGTGGACAGATCAATGTCACAATTAACGGCTGGCAGAGGTGAGAGAGTTGTTGTCGGCATAGCTTGTCTGGAGGACAGCAGACGCATTCTACCCTGAGGCTTGTTTACCACCTCCCCCGTGCAATTGGGCGCCACTTTCCGCTCTTCGCTTGGTGTGACAATTTCACAATCCAATTCCACCTTCACTTTACTCTCATGTAAAATTTCGCTGAGCGTAATCGGCTCGGCTTTTATGATTTTAAGCTCTTCTTTCTCGGGTATGATATGTTTTGGGTTTGCCGACTGGGATTGCTGATGGAGCGTATGTTGTGCCACAACGACATTGGTGTGCTGTTGCAGCAACATCGTATCGATTAGCTCATCTTCAAGTTTGATTTTCTCTGATTTGATTTCAGCCTTAAGCAATAGCGGAGCCGTGTGGACTTCATCAATTTCCTGTTTGGTCATGACATTGCTGACAAAGAAATTTGCCGGAGAAGCAGAGGAGGAAACTTTCCCTTGGCTGCTATGCTCTGGAGTTGTGGTTTTCTGCGGAGTGGAAGGTTTAGCTGGTTGTGATGCAGTCACTTGGGCATTGCCATGTAAGGGTGATGCAGGTTGGGATCCATTACGTCCCTGTACACAATTTGGCTGCTGCGCTCCCGGAACACTTGCGACATTTACTTGATTCGCTGCATAAACCATATTCCAGGCCATAGATTTGCCAATACGTGCCCTCCGTCCCACTGTGGTAATTTGTGGAGATTTCGTGGCATTCGCAATGGGTACTGTGGGCACACTGACCCCAACATTCTGCAAGGGTGGTGTACTTGTGGTCAAATCATAAGCCTCTATGGGTTGTGTTGTCGCCATACCACGTAAGTGAGTTGCGACATCCGCTTCCGATCTATTCACTATTTTATCGGGAACTTCTTCGGGCTCCTCGCGAATATCCGTTACCGGATCTTTTTCAATTGAATCCCTTAGTTTATCTTCATTTGTACTGTAACAATCGGGAGGTGTGAGAGGTGTTACGACATTCTCTTCATACTGGCTCTTGTTGTCGGTATCATCGACAGACAGTTCGGTTTTGACCGCTATCGTTAGTAGGGGGATTTTATTTGGATTAGGCGGTATGATTTCTCCATGTTTTGCGTCCATTGGTGGATTGGTAATATTTTTAACTGGGCCTCTATTGGTATTTACGGCATTACTGTTCAAGTTGTTGTTGTTAACATTTACTGCTGTTGTTGTTGTATTGTTGCTATGGCGATTACTGTTGTTCGTCATAGTCGTATCGTTCGTTAGCGACTTGTTGTTGTGCTGCTGCTGCTGTTGTTGTTGATGCAAACTCAATACATTCAAGGTGTTGTTGTTGTTGCTGTTGCAATGATTGTTGCTCATTGCTGGCACCGTGGTTATTGAGTTGTTGCTGCTGCTGTTGCCGCTGTGATTGAGTGTAGTATTGCTGTTGTTGTTGTTGCCGCTGCTGCTGTTGCCGTTGTGAGTGTGATTGACATTGTTGTTGCTGCTGCTGTTGCTACCAATATGAGGCCCAGTATGGACGTTTTTTGGACACGATTGTTGCATTGGACACGGACATTGTGGTGGATATTCTGAAAGGGGTATAAAGAAAATAATAGAAATTAAGAGAGAAGTTCGTAGGATAAAAAAGCTCTGAGGTAACTTTATTGAATCGGAAGTTATTACTATATTTAGTTTATAGTACTACGTGACGATAGTAGTTATACGTCATGGTAAACACTTAGAAATATACTTCTAACTTATACATTTATGTATAGATCTTTACGAAATTAGACTCAAAATTTGTTCAGAGAGTGAATAAATTGAGGAGCATGTGAAACGTGAACGATTCATAAATTATAGGTAACCCAAAAATAGATTATGAGCCTTTTTTGTTCCGAATATAGAACTAGGCTTGAATAACTAGCCATCACGTATGTCGTAACTGATTTTGAGGTAGTAGCTGTTAGTTATGGAACTCCTTCGGAAACTGTTGGAATACTTAAGGGTTCAGTGGTTGGAATATTTAAGGGTTTAGTGGTAAGGGTATCAGCAGTTTTCTATTCTTCCGAGTTCAAACTTTTTTCCGAAGTATGGTTTGATTTTCTTTTATGAATTTTATTAGGTAAATGAGTCTTTAGACTCTTTTGTCGTGGTCGATGGGCTTTTGGATTTATGTAAATCCAAAGGACCATGAGCTACATCGATAGTTTCAATTAAATAAAAGATATGACATGATTGTTAGGAGGTATTAAACGTTTCCTACTGGGTGGCGTATAAGTTTCGACGTTAGTTATACGTACAGTGTTATCATTAGAAAAAATCTTATAAATTCTACATTTATTAAGCGATCTCTACAAATCACTAGCCATCATATGCGTCGTATTTGAGGTAGTTGCTATTAGTGATGGAACTCCATCGGGAACTGTCCGAATATTTAAGGTTTCAGTGGTAAGGGGATCAGCAGCTTCCGATTTCTAACTTTTTTCCGAAGGGTTTGATTTTTTTGATTGTTAGGAGGTCAAACGTTTCGTACTGGGTGGCGTATAAGTTTCGACGTTATCATTAGAAGAAAGCTTATAAATTCTACATTTATTAAGCGATCTCTATAAATTACTAACCATCATATGCGTCATATCTGAGGTAGTTTTGAGGTAGTTGTCCGAATATTTAAGGTTTCAGTGGTAAGGGAATCAGCAGTTTCCGATTTCAAACTTTTTCCCGAAGTGGGTTTTGATTTTTTATGAATTTTATCAGGTAAATGACGACGACAGTCTTTGGACTCATTTGTCGTGGTTGTTGGACTATTAGATTTATGTAAAGTCAAGGGACCAGGGGATCAAGCATTATTGGTTGGCTCTGAGAAATAACCTCTGGCCTCAGTATCAGTGGTTACAAATAAATACAAAGATATTATATATTTAGGAAGCATTCCTCGTTTCCTACTGGGTGGCGTATACGTTTCGACGGTAGTTATACGTACAGTGGTACCATTAGATAAAAATAAAAAAATACTTTTAAAAGCTACATTTATTTAGCGATGTCTATGAATATTTTCCTTTTAATTAGTTCAGAGTGGGAGTAAATTGGCAAGCAGTTGAAATATGATCAATCGCTATAGATTATTCTCTATCGAAAAGTGTTCGAATAGTCAAGACTTTAGTTGTAAGCGGTTTTTCGGCATCCGATTTTGAAGGGTTTGATCCAAAAGTCGATGACACTTTTGGGACTCATTTCTCGTGTTCGTCGTGTTATTGGATTTATGTAAAATGAAGGTACTAGCAGAACACTGGTCACCTCCAGTGATAATGATGTACGACATTCTGGTTCTGAGAAATAACATCTGGCCACCACATCAAAAATTTCAATTAAATGAAAAGGTATGATTTGTTTTCAGGGAATATGCAGCCTACTATAAATAATTTACCAACTATTAAAATCGATAAATTTTTGTTACAAATTCCACTGACATGATTTAAAACTCGCAGATTCTGCATAATCGTTTACCTCTTCCCTAATTTTTTGTTATAAATTCCAGTGGTATAATTTAAACCGCGCAACTTCAACATATTCTTTAGAACTTTTTTTAAATCCCTTCTAAATATTCGACATTCTCCCATCCAAAAGTAGTTTTTGAGATTGAAACAAAAAATATTTATATATAAAACACCCTTGCGTATACATCACGACACTAGTCATACGCATCATATTACCCATAATGTTTTCTCTCAATAAAAATTCACCCATATCATCCATAAACTTAAAGTAAGAACCATACTTTTCCTTACCCATATACGGAGCCTGAATACTGCGTGTATAACACTGGCCAGCTGCACCGCTGCCACTGCCATAACCCGCATAATAACCTTGTGGTCCGGCAAAATGTTCCAAATGTTGACTATGACCCGCTGGCGGACCTGCTGGTACCAGTTGTGTACCACCCGGTGGAGGTGGTGGCGGCGGTTGTCCCGCCTGACTGGGTGGTGGTGGTCCTGCCACCTGGCCAGCACTAGAACCAGCTGTACCCGGTTGGGGTGGCGGTGCCTGCTCATATAGTTCGGTTGGTGGCGGTGGATGGCCCGGCTGATAGTACGAATAACGTCTATACGGCGAATGATGTGGCGGTGGTGGAGCACTTTGATAAACTTTGGTTGCTGGATAATACGGTTGATAGGCAGGTGGCGAATAACACATTGGTTCACCGGGATACGGTGAATAATAACTTGCAGGATATGCTGGTGGATAATGCATTTGGGCATGCATTGATCGGGGATATGGTGGGCTTTGATGAGCTGCAGCGGCCGCTGCCGCCGCAGCTGCTGCATGGGCAGCTGCCTGTTGATGTAATTGATGCTGTTGTTGTTGTTGCTGCTGCTGTTGTTGATGTTGACTGTGATGGGCAGCTGCGGCGGCGGCCGCTGCTGCTGCTGCAGCACTGGCATTACCACCTTGTGGTGGATAACGATAGGGTGCTAAATCACCGCCGCTTAGAAGAAGCTCTGAATCCGCACTATCAGCAGTAGGAGTGGCATTTGGCTGACCACTGGCGGTTAAGTGTTCGCTGCCATCCACAGGGGTGGTTGTTTGGGATTTGACTTTTGTATTGGTCGTTGCTAACAATGGCACATTTGGTGGTATTGATGATGGTGGTGGTGGTCCAGCTGTAACTGGCTGTATAACATGTGGTGAGATCAATGGACCCGCTGGTTGATAGTAACCTGGAAGAAAAAGAGAGAGAGAAAACAAGTGTTAATAAATTTATCGAATACAAATTTAATTGTAGGATAAAATAAATAAAATAAAATTGTGAAAAAATTATTAAATTCGGTTAGACCGAACTTTCGATACTCTGCACCACGAGGGGACATTTAAAAAAAATTTAAATCCATGCTTAGGGGAGGGCTAGGTCAAAACATAGACCCTGGAAAGAAATAAGTACCATATTATAATGAAGAGAAACACAGATTGTAAAATTCCGCTAAGACCTTCGACATACCGAATTGGTTTGCAAGGAACATGGTATATTTTTCCACAGAAAATTTGTTTACCCACCATGAACCCAGAATGAAAATATACAGCTATTTCACTAAAATACTTAAAATGCGGCGGGACCAAATTGGTCGGAATAGTTACATGGGGGCGATGTTAATACATGGACACCCTTAACCTCAATTATTGGACCTTCAAAATACCGAAAAGATGATGGTACCTTTAAAATCACTGAAAAGTTGTTTACCCAACAAGAACCCATAATGACAAAGTGCAGCTACATTGGTTGGAAAATGTGTCTAGGACCACCAAACTATCTAAAATACGGCGGAACCAATATATGGTGTCTATGTGTAAGCATGGACCTATGCGGACGTAAAATTGGTCGACACCTTTATATGTGGGCAAAGTTAAACATAGGTCTCCTCCATGAAAACGAGGTACCGAAGTATGGATTGGAAAATTTGGTTAGGACATTCAATATACAGGAAACGGGGAAACATGGACCTATATTGAACATTTACCAACCAAGAACTCTGATTGACAATTTGCGGTAGGAAATGCGCCTGGGACCATCAACATGTTTAAATCGGTGGGAATTATATATGAGGACGTGTGTCTAAAACTATGGCCTATATAAAAAATTGTATTGAAATATATTATCCATCCTCTAGAACCAAGAATGCCAGATTACAGAAAGATGAGACTCAAAATGAGTAGGGGATTTGATGGCGGCTATACCAAACTGTGACCGATATATCACCTTCCGAAGTCAAAAGTAGGGATGTATAGAAAATTGTTCCCAATTTTTTTTTTATTTTTAAAAATATCCGAATCACATCTGAAGCAAGAAATCACAAAACCTACCTCTTACACCAGTTACTCGAAACTATGCAACCTACAGCAGCCGCATTGGTGTAACATGGACTTTAAAGCCTTGTTCGATTGTCGTTATCGGTAGTCTAGTAAGTAGCCAATGCATAATCAATGTTTTCTACTGATTGTTTTTTTTTTATGTGCCTTACAATACTTCGCGAAGCCAGCAATTCATTCCGGACTCCTTGCTGGGGGCCTTAACAATCAACATTTAAAGTAAAATAAAAAACAACAACATTACCCCCCATATCTATGATTAGGTAGACTTATGGCCTGTAAACTATATGACAGGCATCATCGTCACAATAAACGCTATTGGCCATATAACAAGATAGTCAGTGAGCTTGGCAAGCTAGCCAGGTAAAGATAATCTTGGTCATATTCATTGTAATCATAGCTTAAAGTTGTTGTTGGTTTTGTTGTTGCATTGTAATTGCCAAATGACTTTAAGACCTTTTCATTGGCAAAAAGAATAGCAACAGAAAACAAAGAACTGACAGTCGAATAACCAAAAAACAGAAATTACATGCAATTAGTTGTTGTTGCTGGTGTTATAAGAGTTGGTTTTTGTTGTTGTTGTAGACTTGAGAGTAATCAGTTGGTGGCATATTATTGCCGTTAACAAGGAAAACGCTTTCACTTTATTATTTTGAGTCAATGTAGCCATTAAATCGACTCATAAATCAGATTTATAATAAAGATATTAAATTGGGGAACTTTCACCACCGGGCTGGGGCAATCGATTTGATTTTGAAAATGAATTAAGAAATTAATATTTTGGAAAATAAAGTTACAAATATTAAAGAAGAAGGCTGCAGTTTTCAGAGCCCTAACGGTTTATATAGATTTAGAAGAGTCTTCTGAATATCATACACTGATATGAAGATTTCTATGTGTTTAAGACCCTTAGGAAGTCTTATATTTGGAAGATATACCAATAGTTATTTTATAAGTAAAGGATCTAAATAAGAAAGCTGTCAGAAGGATTGGTACTTTCGGAGAAGGCGCGTGAAGCAGCAGACCGAACGCGATGAGTTGGCCAAATGGTCGCCAAGGTTAAAACAGAGGACAGTGTGTCCATGGAGAAGAAACAAGTTATGAAAAAAGGGCCCGGCTTGGGAGTAGGGGTTGGTGACCAAAGAGATGATGAAGGTGACGATCAATCAGTATCGACTATTGAAAACATGACTGCCAAGAATGTCAACATTGAAGAGGAAGTCAATACGGGTATATTTGCTTGGAAGTGTGCGCTGCAAGTGGATTGCCGATATGAAGATGAAGTAGGCGAACATGGCGGTGAACCGACAACAAAATATGATTGAGGTGGTAAGACGAAGCCAGTGAATATGGGTGTTCTGACCAGGAAGATTGCGGCAGTAATTAAATTCAGACTGGAAAGATGAAACCGGCAGCCAGCCAATGTTAGATGGTGTGATCAGTAAAATGAAGTCTGAGATCATAGGTGACGTGAAAAGCCAATGAAGAATGGGTTGGCCGAGAAGTCGAAGATAGTTGCCAATAAGTCTGTAAGACGAAGACGATAGACAAAGGTGGAGATGCCAAGATGAGAAGCTGGTTGGAAATATGGCGGTTGTAGTCGAAGATAGTTGCCAATGGTTCAGTCTGTAAGACGATAGACAAAGGTGGAGGTGCCATGATGAGAAACTGGTTGGAAAGATGGCGGTTGTACCTGAATGCGATCACCTAGCTATTTTTTCTTTATATGCAAATTGATTATATTTTCAAATTTTAATACTTTGGAATATTGTATATTTTATATGCATCTTCTGGTCCGCAAGGTGTTCACGTAGCGAAAATTTAGTTTACCAACATGGAAGATCCACCAAATTTAGAACTTTAGATCTTTTATAAATAGAAGATCAATAAATATAAAAGTATAGATGATCCAATCAAAGATCTTCGAAATCTTTCCCAGCACAATTTTTGGGTAGTGGAAAATTATTTTATGTCAGAAAGTGCTTGGCGAGTTTATCGAGAATTCAAGAGGAAAATTCAAGATTTGTATTTATGGCGAAATGAATTGTAGCTGGTGATATTCGTTTGTAGCATTTTTATGTTATTTTGAGGTGACATATCATAAAAAATAACAATATTTTATCTTTCTATCTTAAAACCTGATTCGTTTTATTCGTCCTTTGTTCACTCACCATAATTTTAAATCCCTTCCAAATATTCGGCATTCTCCCTTTACGAATGAAACAAATATTTATGTATATACAACACCCCAGGGTATACATAACGACAATAGTCATACGCACCTGGTTACCAATAATTTTCTCTCAAAAAATCCGCATAACTTTAATACTTTCCTATGTACGGAGCCTAAATACTGTGTGTACAACATTGACCAGCTGCACCGCCGCCACTGCAATAATCCTCATAATAAACTCGTGTCATTTTTATTGTATATAAAATCTAGAAAAATGCCTTCTTTCATTTATTAAATAGAAGATCGAATAATATCTAAGTATAGACCACATATCTAAGATCTTCGAATTACTCGGTGTAAATATATTTTTTGGATGTGGAAAATTCCTTTTGGTCATGAAAACCCATGGCGAGTATATTCAGAAACCAAAAGGTCTAACTCATCATAGGTCAAGATACGGATGACCCTATAATTCATGAAGAAGAAATCGATTTATATATCTGTTTTTTGAGAGGATTTCTGAGCAACAGAACATTTATTTAGCTTTTTGTTGTACGATATCATCCGTGATGGAGATGGGCCTCATTAGCCAATGTATATGTATGTCAGGAATGATCTTCATGATTTGGAGTGATGGTATAACACATGGTTCATTTGACGGCGATATTCACCGTCAACGCAGATGGGCCCAAAAGATCATTTGGGAGAATTTTTCTCTCGAACATTCCAAGAGCTGCCTCATCTGCATGCCCATTACCCATGCCTCAGATCCATATAACAGCACGGGTAGTATCAGCGTCTTGTGGAGCGTGAGTTTGGTCTGGCCTTGTTTTTAAATTGCTTACACTATCACTCTCCGAATTTTAAAACTAATGGCATCAATTTTATTTATGGCGGAATCGAGGTATATAAAATCTATTTTAAGTTCCAATCAGTTTGGTCTTCTCGCCATTTACTGGCAGTCCCACTTTCGCCGACTCCTTCTCAATTCGATCAAAGGTGGCTGTTATTGCTCGCAATGTTCGGCCCATTATGTCAATGTAGTCGGCGTTGGCGATTTGGTGTACAGAGTGTCATTTCTGTTCACATTTGCATCTCGTATAACCTTCTCCAGCAGGATGTTAAAAAGGTCACATAATAAAGTTTCACCTTGTCTAATTCCTCGTTCGGTATTGAAGGGCTCCCAGAGGTCATTTCCGACATTAAATGCTGCCAGTTAAAGTCATCCTGCATAGCCGTATCAATTTTACAGGAATCCCAAACGCGGACGAATTTTTTCGTGGGTTTTTTCCAGAGTATGGTGCAGTGTGAAAATCTGGTCTATTGTGGATTTGTAGGTCTGAAGCCGCATTGATAAGATCCAATAATATCATTGACCATTGGCTTCAGTCGTTAGCATATTATATCCGATAGGAAGGAGACTAAGATCTATAGAACTATCAAGCAGGATCGAACAATATTCACTGTTGGGAATCAGCCCAACCCATTGGACGATGACATTGAAATGGACCTCATCGATCTCGATAAGTAATTTATCGATGAGGTCCCATCTCCACCAAAAAGAAAATGTCACTCTTCTTCTTGAAGTTTAGAAAACCAAAAGTGGATCGCCAGATCAATAATATTAAATTAATTATTTCAGCAATTTGAATTTAATAAAAAAGACCGACAGTGTCATATTTTGAATATTGAATTAAATTGTTTTGAAGTGAGTTTAATTTGCAGTCAACAAAACGTAAGTATCGTCTGAATACTCGTTGTGTTGTTGTAGTTGCAAATTTATATTGTTGTCCGTCTTGTTCAACAATAATCTTAGATTCTAAAACTACTCAGTAGATTTAGAATCACTACAAGTCCTTTCGACTGCATCGGAACTTGTACATGGTCCTTCGAGCCTTTAAATAACGAATCGGCTGATTTGCCAAAAAATTTTCAAAAAAAATCATAAAAATTGATTAAAATTTGCGAAAAAAAAAGTAGAAT